ATCGTGGGGGGTCGCGCAGGATGTTGTGCAGTTGATGTTTGAGAATGGCTTGGCGCGGCAGAAGGCGTCATTGTAGACACTTCTTGATATCAATACGGAAGACTCGTTCTCTCTACAAATCGAGTCCTAGCCAGTTGCTGGTCGACTCCATTGACCTTGACGGATGGGGATCTAAAGCGGTTGATGGGAAGCATTGATATGTAGCGCTAAATCTAGTCAAAAATCATTTTCTACGTACAAAAACGGCATCACAGAATGCCAGCCTCTGTTTTCTGCATCCACTCATCCGTCACACATGATTTGCGTCGATCGTGTGTCGCCTTCTGTCCCTGCCCTTCCATACATGCACTAGGACATCTGTCCCAGAACCTGTGGCTGCACAGGAGCACGTATGGAAATGACAGAGGACAGAGCGTCAACGCCCAACCGGCAGATATTCGGTCCTGGATATCAACACAAAGCGATTATTTGGCCTGTCGAGCGAACCGCCAATAAACAGCATTGTATCAACCCATCCATCAACACGATCACCATCACGGGCCCGGACATCCGCCTGGAACGCCGGTTCCAATGTGGGAGGTGCCATGCCCGAATTCGAAAGCCCAAGTTGTTGTTATCTTGGGTGAGCCGCATCGACTCAGCCTTCGCCCTCTTGGGCAACGGTCTCGTCGTTCGAAGATGGTGTGACCGAAGTACCAGCCAATCGGGCAAGACGTTCCTCTTCTTTCTTCTCCCGTAGTCGTTCGGTCTCCCGCCGCAGGGCTTCAAGGTTCCAGGTGCCGTCGTCTTCGTCCTCGTCCTCGCTCTCCTCCTCCGCACGCCAGTTGCCACTCTCGAACAGAGCACGACCTGTGGCTTCCTTGGCCTTGCGGGCCTGTTCCTCTGCAGCCTTCTTATCCAGACGCTCCTTCTTCCACTTGGCGAAGGTCTCGGGGGTCACTGGTGTCAGGCTGCCGGTGAGCTTGTGGCGTTCTGATTCGAGCCAGTCCTCCAAGGTTAGCGTGTTCAACGGAGACTTGTCCATCAAAGCCTTTTCAGCAGCTCTCTGCTCCTTTGTCTTTAACACGAAACTACATGACAGTGTTAGCTTCATCGTACAATGCTGACAATGCTGGAAAAACTACACCGAGAAACATACCCAGGCGGCAAGCTGTGTTTGTACATGCACTTGTCGCCTCCATTGGGACAAACCCAGAACCAACCGTACTTCTGGTTCTCGACCGCCTCAATGAAGAACTTGCAAACCTTCTCGGTAGTTGTCCGAGGATTGCCGTGCTTGCTGAGAACAACTTTGCGAAGTTTCTCTTCGTCCCACTGGTCCATCGTGTCGCCCTTCTTCGCCTCCTCCTCCGCAGACTTCACATCTCGAGAATCGGTGTAGAGATCCTTCTTGGCCGCTTTCCGCTCAACATTCGGATCGTGACTGAACTTGCACTTCTTTCCCTTTTCACAGTTGCCTTGCTTGAAGAAGACACACAGGACAGTCTTGGGGTCGACACCGAAAGGAACCTTCTGAACCTGCACGGGCTTGAACAGGTCTGCTGCTTCCTTCTTCGCTGCCTCAGCGGCTTTCTTCTCGGCTTCACGACGGGCCTTCTCAGCCTCCTTCTTCTTGGCCTCGGCGGTCTTGTTGTGTGCTGCTTGGGCCTGGAGCTGTGCTATCTGCTTCTTCGCGGAACCACCTTTTTTCTAAAGAATATTCAGTCAGCTAGGTTTTCAATAGTTACGGCACGATAGAGTCTCCGAAAATTCGTAACGTACGTTTTTCATGCCAAAGGTCTGTTGAGTTAAGAAAAAGAGTCAGTACATCATTTTCAGGACTATTCATCATTCAGCGTCAGCACGAACCTTGTCCTCGACCGTGGTCTTTTTCTTCTTGGCCGGCTCGGGCTTCTTTGGCGGCATTTTGGCGATGTTCTTGTGATTGTCTATTTGCAAAACGTCTATGAAAACAGAAACAAATCGCGCGCCGAGTATGGCGGTGGCGGCGGGCTCCTTCTCAGTCAATCGAGGCTGAAGAGCTAAATCGACCGAAGATATATAACGACAGAGAAGAAGAGGGTCAATCCAAGCGCCTTGACAGACAGAAGTTGGTTGACACCTCAAATGTGGCGTGTGCAACGATCGTGAGAGTTGGTGAAGTCAGAAAGATCTTGGTTTCGAGTCCCTCCACATTTTCAAGAGAGGATGTGGGTTTCCAGAGGAATGTGGCGGCACAACCTTCGGCTTCTCTCCGCCAATGAGTTTCGACGCCCAGAATGCGGTCGAGCAAACCTCGACTCGACCAAGTCGGACCAATTTTTGATTTCTGTTTTTGCCAAATGAATTGTCAAGGACAATACTCGTACCGAAGAGTCGGGTACTCTCTATTCCCATCTCTCAGTGGATTTTGGTGAGAAATGTCTCTCAGCATCATAATTTAGATATCCACGACCTCTTCAAAGGGCCTGAAAATTCAGGTGTGTATCTATGAGGCTTTAGGACATCATGACTTGTCTGATGCACCATACGACCAACGCTGTTACTTCTAATATACTGCGACGAATTTACGCTTGGCCATAGCTGTTTCAGCTATGGCAGAACTAGCCTGAGAGTACCTCAACTTATCGGGCGGAATAATTCAATAGCGCGAAGCGTATCTCATTATATCATTCAAAAAGAGCTTGCAGTATGTCTGAGACATTATCGTCCACTGATCATGCATCTCAGGTCTCCCCTGATCAGTCGCCAACGGTATACTCAGCCTCGTTAAGCCTCATTTTATAGTCGGAAATGAGTAAAGCTCATTCGTGGTAGAGCGATTTTGTTCATATAGATGTTTCAGCATTCAGCTTTCGCGGATGATCACCACGCTCCTTTCCATCATACTCTAAGAGACTTCCTGGATCTTGGAGGACTTGGCCTCTCCCTCGGCCTTGCTGTCACCCTCGAGCTCGGGCATTTCCTCATCCTGATAAGATATTAGCAAAGCTGATGCATACGGTTTTCAAGTGCTCGCATCAAAATGACTTACCGATTCTTCGCCCTCAACAACTTCGGCGCCCTCGGCTCCCTCGGCACCACCACCAAGGTCTGCACCGAGCTTGGAGAAATCAATGTTTCCAAGTCCGCCCTGGTCAAGACCCTCGAATCCACCAAAGTTGTTTGCGTAGTCATCATCGCCTGCTTCGTCTTGCTCATCCTCGTCAACCCACTAGAAATTGTTAGCAGCTGTCCTCTTCCGCCAAGATTCACGGCAATTAGTGTCATACCTTGTCGAAATCTGTCTTCAAGAAATGGAGTTTCTGTGTGTCCTTCACCAGACGGGGCCAGTACTCCTCCTTTAGCTCCTTCTTCCGCAATACCAGCTCAACCTCGCGGTCAGTGTGGTTGACCTTGCTGTTTTCGGGGTCAATCTCGGCATATAAGTCGAGAGAGACGTGGTATTTTACGCCCTTCTTGGATTCTCCGGTGAATGAGACATTGTTGGCGGTGATCTTGAGATCCGCGGCCGACTTCGCGACATCCGGGGTCTTGATGTTGACGTAGAGGTAGTTGCGCTCGGGGTCCGAGCTGGAAGAGCGCTGGGCCCATGTGACTGCACAGGCATTCGTCAGCAATGCTTTACCATCTCAACAGCTCCAAGGACCAAGTGATAGCTTGAGCGTTTTCAGAATGCGGCAGATACAAACGCATTGAGGCTCGAGTGTTTGTGTTGCAATTGAACTCAGACTCAGAGACCAGCAACACAACCCGAGGCGGGGAAGGTGGAACGGAGTGACCACAAGCGAACGTACCTTCAGGAGTAAGTTGAGGTGTTTCAGGCATCTTGATCTGAGTTAGATAGAATACTGGGAAGAGAGAGGACGAGGAAGATGATAGGTAACAGATGTGAAGGTCTAGTGCTGAGAGGAAAGTGAAGTTAGAGCTGACAATAGGTAGAAGGACCTGGGGCTAGAAAGACTGGTGATGAATCCAGCTGAGGTTAGCGCAGGCCATCCCTCCAGAAGTGGTGCTAGAAAGTACTGGAACTCTCTTACAGCGGCCGCCTGCTGTTTGCTCTGTTTGCGGTCTCTGGTGTGCCTGAGGCTTGATTTGCATCCAACTTGGAACTTGGGCTTGCTGACTAATCACATGGGGAAGTGCCGGATTCCTCAATCTGTTGACGATAGTCACCCCAATCTTGGTCAAAAGTATTCCCGATACACAGTTTTCAAGTCACAGCTCTTATTAGTTCAGTTACCATATAATTCTCCTTGGCGTCCTCACATTGGCAGTCTGTTATCTTATCATCTGCATTCGCCTTGCGCAACCCGTTCCAACGCCCTGCCGGATCGGTACCCCACTTACAGTGACGATCAAGTTCCTGAACATAGCTTGATGCCTTTTGCGACAACGTAGTCTTGGGCGCTCACGAAGACGTGAGCTCTTGCTTATATTTTATAAATTTACCTATATCCAGTCTACAAGAACGAAATATCCGAGGAAGATAATCCTGGAACGTCACAGAGTGCCTCTTGACCATGGAGACTCTGAAGGCAGTATTCTTCGGTCCAGATCCTCAAGCACAGGTACAATTATTGATGACGACTAGCTACCCATGTGTGCTGATTTGACTTTCCTGTTTTAGATGAGGAAATGCAACCAACTTATCCGTGCCAATACCCGACAATTAGACCGCGACATTGCCCAGTTGAGGACTCTGGAAAGCAAGACACGGCAATACATCGTGAATGCGTCGCGCAGAGCTCAGCGAAATCCTTCGCAGGCAAAACAGGCTACTGCTGAAACAAAGACCTTTGCGCGGGAGCTGGTCCGGATCCGCAAACAGTCCGCCCGTCTGACCACGAGTCGAGCCCAGCTTCAAAGTGTCCAGATGCAAGTGAATGAGGCGTTTTCGATGCGTAAGATCCAAGGCAGTCTGAAGAAGTCGACAGGAATCATGAAGGATGTCAATACATTGGTCCGGTTGCCTGAATTGACAGGAACCATGCGTCAACTTGCAACGGAACTGGTGCGTGCTGGTATCATTGAGGAGATGGTGGACGACGCGATACCCAACAATGAGCTCTATGAAGACGAAGAAGATGAAGCTGAGGCGGAGGTCGACAAGGTTCTACAGGAGATTTTGCAGGGCAAGCTTTCCCAGGCCGGAGACGTCAAAACCGAAGAACCGGCAGAAGGAGAACCGGCTATTGAGGACCAGATTGAAGATCAAGAAGCGGCCCTGGAACAAATGAGGGGTCGATTGGAAGCTCTGAAAAGCTGATTGTTTAGGAACTGGTCACTTCAGGCTGATGTTCTTAAGTGTGTGTTGATTCGAACACACGGTGTCCTTTGTTATTGATGTAGTTGTGCGTTCTCCCAGGGAGTTCGGGTAGAGCGAGAGTTCGGCGTTTGTCATTAGGTACCCTTTTCTTATTGCAATGTGTCAAGGCTGGGCCTAGGAGCAGCAACTGACTCGGATATACTATTCTATTTTGCTCATGATAATGACTCTATATATTGTGGTAGTTTAACTCCAAATCAGTGATCTATGAGTCCTATGATTGACCTCCCAACAGTGATTGCGAGGCATCATGTTATTCATAGCCAATATGACGCTGCGTTCAACTGCTGAGAATAGAGGTCGATGAATCGTCATGAGATTCAATGATGGCAATGATAATATTGATGATGATGATGATAGCACGTTTCAGTTTGTATGGCCAAATCCTGATGTCTAAGGCACCAACATCCCGCCTCCATATGCGGCCTAGCGTCAAACGAGACACAGCCTCCCTCCCTCCCTCTTCTCTGAGAGCGACCGCCCTTGCGTATCCGTAACTTCCTGTCGTCCATCAATCTCAACCCTCCATCATCTTGCATCACCCCATCAACGCGTCTCGCTTCTTAATCATATACATCCATAATTGTCTCAACAATTAATATTCTGAGCTCAATAGCGACTACTCACAACTTTTGAGCCTATTCTCCTGCCTCTTTGTCAAAGCCTCGAACCGCTTAGACGGCTCATCATCTGTCACGGTCGCAATTCCGTGAATCTTCTGAACCTCTCACTCTCCAATTCTGATCACTCATTTGAGTTCAGCAACAATGTCTGGCAAGCTGGACAAGTCTCTCGACGAGATTCTCGTCAACCGTCGTCAAAACGCTCGTCGCCGCACTCGTCGTCCAGCCGCTTCAAAGCCTGGCAGTGCTGCCGTTCCAGTTGGAGGAGTGAAGAAGAATGCAAGGCCCGCCAAACCTGTTGCGAAGGGGGCTCAGGGTGGACACCCGGTCGCAACGGAGAGCAAGATCATGGTCAGCGGCTTGGTAAGTCTTCTCACGCCCTGAGGTTGGCAATGCGCAGATTTACTAACTTCTCTAAGCCCTCCGATGTGAATGAGGGCAATATCAAGGTATGTTGATCGAGAGGCCTTCGCCTTGGGTTTCTATCGCCATGTCTGTTTTTCGAGACCTTCGAGGCGTCAACGGCTTCCATTCGCGTTCGGACCCGTCACCACGTCGCTTTTACAACTTCGTGGTGATTGCTGGGTCCGCTGCACAGGCACCTACTCCTTCCCGTCTTTTATCTACGAGCATTTCATAAACTGGTGCTACATGACGGTCGAGGTCGAGTTTTGCCGGAGTCTTGCGAGAAGCGTGTTAGCTTGAGTTGCGAATTTGCGTTATCAGCAATACGCTTCCATCACCACGCTGCAGACTGTGCTCGGAGCTTTGAAATACCTTTCCCGGCGAAACTTTTCGGTTTCGCCACCCGTTTGATTTCGCACTGCACGGAAGGGGCATCAGCGAGCGCATCAGCAAACAACAGCAGCAGGCAAGGCTTTGCAATGAAATCAAAAGCCTCATCGGGTACCACGATTTATTTGTGAAGTGCGTCGGTTTATTAGGGCAGGAGACACACTCGCAATAAATCTTGA